ATACCGGAGAAGGTATTGGAAGGGGTAGCAGAACCGAGGGCATTGTCGAAGTCATTAAGAAACATGTGAAATAGGTTGTTGGAACACCATCATAGACATAAAGTATTAGTGACGCATACTATAGGGTTGTTCAGAAAGTCATTTCGTTTTTTTTTGTGGAAATCAAAGACAGTTTTCGTATAATAAACAAATACTTTATTAAATTATATATTGACCGTTCTGGTCCAACACCTTTTGCCATCTTTCTGGTAGTAGCATAATTCCACGCTCATAAAATTTTTGGTCTTTGCTGACAAAAAACTGATCGAGGAGGTTTTTCACCTCCTCATTTGAGCTGAAGGTTTTACCGTCTAAAAAATTTTGGAGTGACCGGAACAAATAATAATCCGATGGTGCCAGGTCTGGAGAATATGGTGGGTGTAGCATTGTATCCCATTCAAGCTGTAAAACTTTTGGCGAGTGACCAAACTTGTGTGAGGTGTCGCGTTGTCTTGGTGAAACACTACACCTTTCCTGTTGATTAGTTCTGACCTTTTCTGTGGAAGTGCATCATTCAGTTTGTCCAGCTGATGGCAGCAGACTTCCAAATTAATCGTTGTGTTATCCGGTAAAAGCTCAAAAAAACGATTCCTTTAAAATCCCCAAACAGACAGGGTCACCTTTTTTTGGTGAATATCGGCTTTGGAAATGGTTTGAGCCGGTTCATCCTTTTTGCTCCATGACCTCTTGCGTTTGACGTTGTTGTATACAACCCATTTTTCGTCCCCAGTGATGATGCGCTTCAAAAACGGATCATTTTCGTGACGTTTGAGAAGCGAATCGCAGACGTCAATGCGGCGACACAGATTTCTCTCTGTGAGAACATGGGGAACCCATACATCGAGCTTCGAGGATAATCCCAGGCCTTTCAAGTGGTCATAAACTGTTGAATTTGATAAATTTAACCTCAATCCGATCTCACGTGTTGTTATTCGCCGGTTCACATCAACTAATGCCTTTATCGCGTCTTTATCAGCTTCAACCGGCCTTCCCGAACGTGGTGCATCTTCGACATCAAAATTGCCGGATCGAAATTTAGCGAACCAGTTCTGGCACTGGCGTACTGTCAACACACCTTCTCCATACACATCAGTCAATTTCTTTCTGGCTTGAACAGCATTTTTACCCTTTCTGTAGTAAAACAGTAAGATATGTCGAAAATGCTGCTTATCGCTCTCCATATTTAAAAGGGCACCAACCAAAAACTACTGCGTAGAATTAATTGGAATTTTTCACACACAAGCCTTGCTATATGAGCTCTCAAAGCATATAAAAATTATACGGCTTAAATGTGAAGTTGGGTGCAAAAGAATACAATTAAATCCTCTGTCGGGAAAAAACGAAATGACTTTCCGAACAACCATATAGTAGCAGAAACAGATGTTAAGAGGGATACAGGTAGATCTAGATCTTCTTCAGACTAAAAACCTTATGGTGATGACTAGTCAAGTTTGTTTCAATTTATTCGCCCTTTGTGTCTCACTACCAAAAAATTCCTTTATCCCTTAACTTCCTTTGTGCGTTATTTGCTTAAAAGAATGGGATTCGTTTTGATGTTGTCCAATACCTACGTGTTATCAAGTTTCTTGCTTCTTTTAACAAGTTGCCACGCCATCGCCAACACGACCATTCCGCCAGTTTAACGACCACTCAGAAATGACATTTTCGTTCCGGCAGCGTCGAGGGTTATTTTTAACCCGGAAAGTCGATGAACAGAGTCGGAAAATGAGTAGTTTCCACACATGAAAGCTTGTCATGTAATTTCGCGCCAGATATATGGTGCAATAAATTATTCGGATGTTCCTTTTGTAGAAATGTTCAAACCGTAAATTACAGGTACCTATACCTTTACCTGTATGTACACAGGCTGCTCTGTATTATGAACTGAATCCATATCTAAATCGAATTTTACAGTGGTACAAGTAATGAGCACATTTAATTGAGAACGCATACAATACAGCAACACATGAATGAATCTTGTATTTACAGATCCATCATTTTATAGATTTCATTACTGTAATAATTATTAATCTTTGTTCTCGACTTCTGCACATCTAGAGCATACAACATTCCGCTTTCTGAAATTGCTCAACAGTTTAATTAATTCATTTTAAGTTTTATTGTTTCAAGTAGATTGTTGAATTTACGACTAAGAATTGACTAACGTGAAACTTTTCATGAGTGCCACAGTGCAGGGTGTTTCTGAAATAAGTAGCAAGCTTTTGGGTGTGTTAACAAGATGCGATAGGGAATCGTATGATGAGTCAAGGAACGTGGTTATGGGACAAAAAAATCAGACGAAATTGCTAACCGTCTCTAAGGGTGAACTTCCAACGTATAGAGAAATTGCGATAACGAGTAGGCAACTACATGGATGGAAAACGTAAACAGTGACGGTTTTAGAACGACTAATAAAGTAAATATCAACAGCTTTTTAGACGCTCATTGCTATACAAAAGAAATGCTCGTACAACAGGGATACTGCAGCTGATGGATGCCGCATTGCAATGTCGTATTTCCCTGCGTGACCCTACCAGGGCCGGACTGGCGGAAGACAGAGCCAAAGTGAAACTTCTGATAAATAAGAAGTACAATATGGGCTGGAAGAAGGGGATGTCAGGAAGGAAATATTGAGAAAGAAGGTATTAGAAAGAGGGACGAAAACTGTTACATATGATAGAGATGTGGAGAGGGCTTTGGAGAGATTAAAAATCAGTCAGGAGCAGTTAAGGGAGTGATTGAAGAAAGATATAAATATAAGGGAGTTATGAGGAACAGATGCAGGGAAATTACAAGGAGAGAGGATTTAGGAATATGGAGGAGTCGAGGTATGTGGTGGGGTTGAAGACGATCTTGTGAAGGGGCTGATAAAGGGACTAGATACCTGGAATCTAACCAGCGTCCTTCCGAATGCTAAGCAATGAAGTGGTAGGAATATTGTATTATACTTCATTTACTTTCTGTATCGATGTGCCCCTTCCAATGTCTTGGATGCGCGCTGGCAAAATCGTACGTAGAGAGAAAAAAGCTCATTATACTCTCGACTCTTGTTCATTAAACTTACTTTTTCATACAGTACCTGCCAAAAGTTTTGTTCAATTATTAATAGTAGTGCGAGTCGAAAACAAGCGTTGAAGCCTTTAATACGAGGGTGGATTGATAAGTTTCCGGCCTGACCAAGAAAAACAAGGTTTTTAAAAATTTTTTTTTTTATTTCTCAACATAATCTCCTCCAAGGCTGATACATTTCTCATAGCGGTGTTCCAGTCTATTAATGCCATCTCTATAGACTGATTCGTCAAGCTCCTCAAAATAACCATTTACAGCTTCGATTAC